CAGGATAAAAACTGGTCTTCTGGCCTTCTTTCTGTTTCCATACCCATTCCATACAGCAAAAGCTTCTTAGTTTCACAGACTCCTTTAACCTCACTCCCTCAGAAACTATAGGTATTTTGTGGGAAATCTGTTCACAAGGGTATGTTTAAGAAATTTGTTTTATTTGCCCTGACACAGCACTCAGCATCTCTTCATCTCATTTTTACTGATTAGTGGTTACTATGTTCTTGGGAATGGATCTGCCTGCACTTGACCTACCAGACCCATGGGACACCTATACAATGATTGGTTTTGTAGCTTGGCATGTTGGTACTGATGTTCTTCTGGAGATACACAGCTACTGTCTCATACGTAAAGGTACAAGTCCAACTGGACTTATTTTCACCTTGCTTGCAAAAGATCTGAGTGAGCTGAATTTCAAGAGGTGTTTTTTAGTTTCTAACTTACAAGCTGAAGGGAATAACTAGGAAATAATGGTGCACAAATTCATATAGAAGTAAAAAAGTTTTCAACTTTTAACTCAAATGTTTTGTTCAGCTCAGATCTCGCTATCTTGATTCATTCTATTGAAAGACAACTTTGTTTTGTCATCTTAATGACTGTAACCTACTTTCTGCAGGTCAACCCAATTTGTTTCCGCTGTAAAGTTTGTGAAATGTCAAATGACTTCCAGGTGCTTTTCAAATTCGGTGCTTTACAGGAGTGATTTACTTAGCAGAAGTTTTGATCCTATGACTATATGAATACAAAAAAATCCCTTCCTCTTAAGAGCAGACAACTGTATTTTTTTTCTTCCACGTAACAGTTGAACTGATAGAGGATGACAGAGTACAGATATTGCAGTCACTCACATCTGCAGAAGCAGAAGTAAGTAACCATTTTTGCATACCTACCCTGAGATGATGTTTTTAAAAACAAATAGAAAGACTAATACTTCTGTGGTTTTACTTGTTTTCTTCTATTCTCTTGCAGGGTAACCTGTTTAAACAGATTGTGTTAACTATTTATGTCTGTGGAAACATAATATTCCTCATTGCCTTCCTGGCAGCAATCAACCAAGTATGAAATAAGAAATGGAGAACTTTGCAGTGAAGTACCATGCAGCTGAAAAACATGCAAGGAATACTTGAATACTTTCTATTGTGTTTCCGTCAACACATCCTTGAAGATGTGGTTGAAGAGCAATAGCATGTGTACAAGGGAGAAAAATTCAAATCAATGGAATGCTGGAATTCTGCAGAAGCTGCCTTCAGGTGTTATTTTTAATGGGAGTCTTTGCCTGAGTAAGGAATGAAGTTGGTTTTTTTTTTTTTTTTTTTTTTTTTTTTTTTTTAGTATAATAGAGTTTACAGAGCTAAGAAGAGTCAGAAGATGCACTGAAATAACTGTTTTGATAGTCACAGTTCCCTAAACCTTTTGGGCATATTACTGGAAAAACTGGAAAGTGTGATCCCAATTCTGTGTTCTATGACATGGTTTGACAGTCTCCTGCTTGTGACAACTTTGTCCCACACAAAGGAAAAAAAAACTTACTGAAAAAATCTGCCACAAATGCTTGAGCTAAACATTGAGCTAAACATTGTTTATCTTTGCAGTTCAATGCAAATTATTCTCTGCTCTAAGAGCAGTGCACATTTACAGGGATAAGGGCTTGGGAACCTTGGTTATTTAGTAAGATCACCATTTTCATCATTCAAAATACTGTTTTGCTTGTCTCAGTGCTTCCAAGGCATAACAAGGAAAGCATGTTTGCAAATGTACATTAAAACCTAGTTCTGCTTATCCAAAACTCAAACAGGAAAAACCTATCTGTGTGCATGTACTTGTTCTGCTGTCTCTGGTCACTTGTTGCTTCTGAATTGCTGTTTTGTACAAATAACATGGGACTTATGCAACTTGATTCTTAAAGATAAGTGAAAATATTTGCTCAGTTATATTGCAGTTGTATTTGCTCTATTGAATGCACTGCTGAAATAGTGATTTGGAATCGACTTCAGGAAAATGCATCTCCCTTTAGTGTTAAATGAGCATTTTTTGAGCTGGTATGTCTGACTTTTTCAGAGACTCTTTTTTTAGTTAGTAACTAATTTATCTTAATAACATGGTATGGGGAATGGAGGGGAGACTATTCTCAACTTCTTTGGTTTCTGGCTTGCTTAGAGATTGAGAGTCACTTTTTAACTGAAATCTCATAAATTAACCCTTATTATACTAATTATACTATGTAGTAAATGCTTTGCTTTTTTTAATTAGTTGTAAAACTTCAAAGTATACCTCTACCAAAGGGTTGTTAACCTAGCTAAGAATAAAGGCATTGACAAATAAGATAGGACCCAGTATTCACTGTTACAGATATAAAACATCATAGCAAGATCTCTCTGCTACCTGATGCTCATGCCTAAGGCACTTCCTGACTAAGACACTAGTCAGGAAGTTGTTCTTTCCATTAACTAAAGCTGTCTAGTTCAGCCTCCTTTTTTTTTTTTTTTTTTCTTGAAATTCACAATGCAGCCTGTTGCAAGTATAAGTTATTCAGAATGTATCAAGTTTGTGGACAGAGATCTTGCTTGCTCAAGTAACATGCTTAGTTATAAGAGTCTTCACAGAGCTGGGATTAATCCTTTTTGTTAGCAGCATAATAGATTACAAGTGAGTGAACCTCCTTCCCTCCAGCTGGAGAATACAAGAGAAGGCTAAGAAGAAATATGGCAAAACTCAGGCTGAAGGGCAACAAGCATTTTCTTTATGTGAGGTTTTCAGTTTGTTCTTTGGGTATCTTTGACTTTGATATGTAGAAGTCTCAGATCTATCCAGCACTAAAATTTTGGGAGCTCTTCAATATACTCAGTTTACAGAAGAAAATCTCTACTCAAACATGATAGATGGATTTTGAAATTAAGTCAGTGGCAGCTTCTTTCTATAATACAACAGCTGTGCTGCATTGCTTCATTCTGATGTGTAAGAGGGGGGTTTTAAAACATGAATGTAAGTATCTTAATAATTGTTTCTCTTTTAATACAGTGGAAACACAATCAAATAAAAATTAGACTAGTTTTGCATAGTAGTAATCAATCAATGTTTTCATTGTAGATGCTTATTTTACAAATCAGCAATTTGAAAAGCAATTCAAATGTTTCTTGGAGAAACTCTTGAAATTGAGTGTTAGAAATTGGATGTTAAAATGTTTCTTTACTGTGGAATAGCTCTTTCCTGAGAGCTACAGAGTTTGCAAACTTGTTAGTTGCTCTTAAATAATGCTCTTCCCTAGTACTAGTAATAATCTGTAGTTTGTAATATAAGGCCTTTCCTGACACATTCCAGTATCTTCAAATCAAAGTCTTGTTAATTTTTTAACACCTCCCTGCCCACCTGCATGACTAATAAGAGGAAGCAAAGTGATTGTATTAGAGTGACTCTCCCAAAATTTGTTACAATCTTTGAAAATAAAAATAAAACTATAAAAATGAAAAAAACACCGTGCAAGTGTTTGATGGAAAAAAACAGGTAGCAGGAAGTTTGGTTCTAGAGGCACTGGTGGCTTAACATTGTTTAGAAGGAGACTCCTGGCATTTTTCTTCATAAAGGAGTCCTGCTGAAGTTGACAGAAGTTTTTATGAAAAGATCAAAGTTTTGATGTTTCTGGTCTCGGATTAAGCTTCTGATGACAAATTAATGATATCATATTTCAGATTGGTTCTTTCTAGATTGGTAAATTCTCCCTATCAAGTAGGAATTCACCTCAAAATCTGTTTATCTGTTCTTGAAAGCTACAAATAATGTTTCTTGAATATGTTTCAGAGAAAACTAGGTGATGCAAATTGCTTAAATGCATTTGAATTTATTGCTGCTTTGCTTTACTTGAAATCTTTTTTTTTTTTTTTTTTTTTGCAAGCAGAAGTTTGGGTGCAAGATGAACAAAGATTGGAAAACGTTTCTAATGCCAAACACTGAACTATTTGTTTGTTTTGGCAAAAATCATATGTAGAGGCACGTATTGGGTGTAACGTCAATGTTTTTTCTTTTATTCAGATTTGAGAAGGCTAGAGAGATCTTGCCTGTTATTTTCTATCACTACTTGTAACACTGTGTGGCGCTCTTGTTCAAACAACATTTTTATTTGCCCACAGTGTAAAGTTCAGGCACGTAAACAGCCTCCAAAACAGGAAGTCTTCCTAGACAAAATATTCATAATATATCTCAAGCTTTAGATTCGAGCCAGTTCATACAGATAGACATAATGTCTATGCTTAAGCTCTGTTGGAACAGTAATGACTTGCTTTCTTTTGGAATAAGATGTGCTTTACTCATGAACATCTTTTTTTCCCAAACAACATAAGATGAGTGACTATCATGGAGCAAGAGGGATGATCTGCTAGTACTCCTGAGAAATTCTTAGCTCAGATCAGTATGATCCTAAGCTTTAGGGTGCATGTATGTGTGAAAGGCAGCGCTGTTCCATACGTTTTTCTGAAGGGAGTGGTACAGCAGGACAGACACAGTAAAAGTGAAGAACCACCCCCACGAGCCCCCACTCAGCCAGATGCCAATCTAAAATTTTAAAATTCTGCTTGTTGTTGCTCCACTATCCAAGAGGTTGGTAGTAACAAATCAGCTTATGCTGTGTGTGGTGTTTTTACACTACTTTCTGTTTTTTGGAACTGAATTTTACCTGACAATCTGCTTAATATTCACAGTTCTGATGTCTTCTCGGTTTCCTTCCTTTTAAACTATTTCTGTATTATATTTGCCAGATCATTTAAGGATATTAGTGGGGAATGCAGAGAATGAGTGCCCAAATCAGTCTGCTTCTGTTATAAAAGCTGCCTGTGTCACTTTTTCCTACTGTCCAAATTATATCCCATTGAGAACTTGTAAAATACATCTTAAAACAAAACAAAAACAAACAACTGAGTGTAACTGTCAGAACTAAGCAGTAACGGGAAAACAAATGGCTTCAGAAAAAAAGAAAACTTCTACAACAAATGAAGTCAGGCTAGATGTAGAGAAAATGTAATTGTTTATTCATTTCCATCTCCAGGTAACCATCTTTCACAATTCCTAAAATCTGAGATTATCTGCTCACTGTCTACTTCAGACTGGGACCACCACCTGCTTAGAGGCTTTGTCAGCTGGTTGCTACTGTTGTGCCTCAGTATGAGGTAGCGGCTTCATTTTCCTGCTTTGAAACGAGGAAGGCAAGCAAAAGTTATTTCTGTTCTTTGGTAGTTATTTTTGTTATTTCTACAACAGAACAATACAACCTGACCTTTATCCACTTAGCAATTCAAACCAGTCTAAGACCTACCAAAAGTAATGCTATCATACTGATTTGAATAGAAGGATGTAGAGTGATGAGGCACTTTTTTCCCAAGAACCTGGTATTAGAAAAATGACTAGCATGTGACTTTCCTATGTGTAATTATACCTTATGGCTACTCTAAGTGCTGTAGCCTTCCTCCATTGTGGAAAGAATGACCATGTTGAATGGTGGGACTCTGCTGCTTGTTGGGGACCCATACCCAGCAGCAGCTGCCCCCAGAACAGACCTGTTGCAGCTGCAGGACGAGCCATTGACAAGTTGATTTCTGATGGGAGATCTGCACTAATTTTAGCTCCCCTGGCTGATGAAACCTGCGGACTAAGCAATAATGTTAATGACTGACAGGCACTGCCTGCCTGGCAACCAGCTTTCTGGAAAAGTAACACATTGTGTAGTGAGCTAAGGAGGTGAAGCCATGCCAGGGAGGTCAGGCTGTTTATAGTATTATGCATGGGGTCTGTGAGGGATGGGCAGGAAACATGCATGTGATGTGGGGAGGGGAACAGGATTTTAGCATTGCTGTACTGTCCTATATAGAGGAGAAGGATGGGTGGACTGTGGTGCTCTAAAAACGTGGCTAAATACTTAAATGTGGGCTTTACTATTTTAATATTGTTCTACTCTTAAAAAGGAATGCTTCAAATTTTGGACAAGATACTAAGTTTGGAGATCAGATTTTATATAGAGTTTTTTTCTGGCCTCTATCTCTCATACTTAGTTTTTAACTAATGTTTAAAAAAAAAAAAAAGGTTCGAACATTTTCAATCAAACATCAGACCAGTATGCTTTAAAGGGAACAGCATCCTGTGAAATTTGGAGGTGGGTTTTATCTGCTGTGTATGTAGCAACAATATATTTCTGATTGTGGGGACAGGTTATGCGTCTTCTCTCTTGGATATACACTGCATTTATGGTCTTGGGCAACTTTCTATTACTTTACAAAATTCAGGATTTAATTTATGTCTATGTGGCACAGTTGGTCAAAACTAAAAGTCTGTTGGAGTCCATTAGGTTATGCAAAGTGCAAAATAACCCAGATGCATAAAACAGGAGCAAAACACTAGGCATTAAGATCCAAAATGTATACTGAAGAAACTCCTTAGCTTTATACTGCTTTGAGTAGTAATTTCTACTTCCATGTCATACAGCTGTTAAATCACCTTTTTCCCCAGCTTTGCCATTCTCATCCTCAGAGCTGAAAAAAAGAAAACAAAGCCAGTGTTATTTTAAGTCAAACTTAATATTTCTGGTACTAAATCACTGTATTTAGAATAATGAAGAATACACATACCTCCAATGGTGAATCCAGCAGAATAAGCATTGTTTTAGTGTTACAGAAAGAAATTAGTAGAAGGCATTAGTTCTGGTTACTTTATTGCAAAGTGAGCATATATTTAAGAAAAAAAAATCCCATTATTGCTGCTTGAAAATTAGCACAGCTCTCTTGTTTTGTTTGCTATCTTCACTAACACATTGCAGACAGATGGTATTGTCCTTTACAAGATGCTGGCAGATTAAAAGGATGCATGAATAATTAAACAAACCCTTTGTTTAAACTAAACTCCTCAGCAGGAGCTGTAACTGCTTGGAAACCTTTCTCTTTTATATTGATGTTCAAAGAACTTTCCTTTTCCTGGCGCAATGAGTCAGGGTGGCAGTTAGTCATATTCCCAAATTAAATCTGACAGAGTAATTTATCTGTATAAACATCAGTATGGCTATAGTCTGTAGCTGGATATAAGGTAGGTTAGTTCGAAAGTGACAGTGCAGGGCAAATGATTAAATGTTAAGGTTATTTTTAGAACAGCAATATAATGCTTTCGTTTGATACGTAGGAGCCTCCCCCACTAAGCTGTTGATCTGAGAATGCAGTGGCAATAATCTTCAGCCCTCTGACCTGGTAGTTTGAAGAGTCCCCCAAAATAGCATCTCTTCCCTACACTCTGTGTACTGGGACACAAGGAGGTCAAAGCAGCTGTTTACTTGATTTATGTAGGTCAACAAATGTCCAGCTCAAATTCTGTTTTGATCTCTGAAGCTTCTGTGATTTGCAACAACAGACACCTGTGTGTAAGCTTATGTGATGGGACTGGAGATGTTAAGCTTGGCTTACAAAGAACTGAGTACTGTCTGCAGACCAAAGAATTCAAGAGGATTTGAATCTTGCTTGTTGGTTTGGGAGAACAATTTGTCTGAGATGTCATTTAAAAATGTGCCTCTGGACTATTGATTGTCTTGCCTTTTAGAGCACTACAAAAGAAAGTGGTGTACAGGACACTTTCTTTATTAAAAAGTTTTCTTGCACAGTGTTTAGCACAAATGGACAATTACACAGTTTTTCAAGGCTGCATAGCTTCCAGTGATAAAGCTAGCTTATGTAACCAGATACCTGCCAAAAGCCTTGCACTTTCACTTCACATGAGACACTGCTGTATACTGTCTGGGAGCTTTCCTGCTTATTCAGCTTCAGTTTCTTTTTCTTCTTCCAGTTAACCCATTATGCTAGCTCTTGTTCCTTCACAAGGGCTTTTATTTTCCATAGTGAATATTTAATCTTCAAAACATTTGCATTACTTAAGGACAAAGAAAATACACTCTAATAAAATGAAATGCTAGCAGGATAACTATAGTGTGTCCATCCTTCTCTCTTTGGCATTTCTGAAAGCATGTACTAAGCTCACAGGGAATTGAAAATTGCTACCATATGGAAGAGTGTCCTTGTTTGCTGCCTTGGGGCCACGCTGAAAACTACTTATTTGATCCCATGATTTCTCTGTCTAGACCGGTACATGGAACATGTTCTCTGCTTCCTAGTTGTCCTTTGCCATCACTAGCTTTTCAGTAACTTCCTCTGAAGGTTCATTTCTTTTCCAAAGCAACATTGTCACATAAGGGAACCTGTCCTGTGCTTTCTTGCTTTCTGTTCCTTCTGAGAGCCTTCAGTGTCTGCTTAATATTAAAGTGCTACAATTGCTTCCCAAAGCTTTCGTTTCAGAATTTTGAAGAGGATTACTTTTGTTCTATAGCTTGTTTTAGGAATGAAGGATGAGGGGCCAAAAATCATCTTATTTCCCTCCTTTTCACTGGTGGTGTGCAGGGTGAACCTAGTAGGCTGAAGCATCAGTGACTGGTTTGAAAACAGTTTTTTTCTCTTAAGAAACAATGCTTTGTCATACATTGTTCTAAAAGTAAGAGGCTTTCCTGGTTTTGTTTCATTTTTACAAGTAGCAATAGGATTATGGGACTGCTTAGGAAAAATTGAGTCATTTCCTGGCTTTTTCCAGAGATCAAAATGCCCTGAGGAGTGATTAGTAGGTGGAGGGACAAGGAGGAATATGGCTTAGTTCCATAGGCCACTTGGAACTTCGAGGCACTCAGCTGGAGGCATTGCTGAATACTGGGGTGTATTTTTACCTTGATGCCATTGCCTTAATTACTATTAATTGGAACCATGATTTTTCATAAATTGCTGTATTCTCTTTGGCATAGTAATTGTAAATAAGTGGGTAAGAACAACAGAAATTGATAGAAGTTTCCAAATATCTTTGCTATGTTTACCTCTTCCTCTAAAGTCAGCACTAGTTTTCCACAAGATTCCAAAAAAGACTGTTCAGAGACTGAGTGGCAGGGAAAAATGAAGCTTCGAAAGTTTTTTTTTTTCTAGGCAAAGATTGTTACAGGCAGAGGTGCTCAGCTAACTTGTTTGTCTGAATGGTACTTGTAGCAGAAATGCTAAGTCACAAGTGATTGAGCACCTGGTGGAAGGTAGGGCCAACCAAGGGAAGCCCAGGTGCGTGCAATGACCCTGAGTGACCGAAAGGGGTAGGACCAGGGTCCACCCCTTTCAGACCTCATTTAAGGGCTGGCAATGGAGGCAAGAGTATTTCACTGGAGATCCATGCCTACCTGAGGCTTTCTGAAGGTAAGCAGCCTCTTCTTTGTTTCTGTGCCCAGGACTGTTGCATTTAAGCAAGTCCTCCCTTGCTGCCGCCTAGGACTTTGTCCCTCTGCTGGCATTGTTGTGCTTTCCGTTGCATTACAGTACTTGTGGTTTGTGGTTACTTCTTGGCAACCACTTTCCTGGGGTCTATTCCACAGAGCAGGCTGTAGGATGAATTGTTTTGATAGCAACCAGCTTCTAGATGAGGGGGGGTGGAGGGGGTGGGTGGAGCGTGGGTTCTCTCTCTCTATTCTATCTATAGATATGCGATGGGGGGTAATTAAGAGACTGACTCTCCAGAATAATGGGCTGGAGCAGTTGCTGGAAAGGCCTATCTTGCCTGTGGCTGGCCACTGCTGCTTTCAGCTGCTGGCATAGAACTGTTGGCAACAGCTTTTGCTCCTAGGGGATTTGGGGAAGCACACAGGTGGCAGAACTGGTGCTTGAGGGAAGCAAAGGTCCTTCTGAGTGATAGAAAATTCAGTGACCTCATTGATCAGAAGTGCTGGGCAGCACTGCTGGTATTTCAAGCTGTGTTGTGCATGACTGCATGATGTTGTTGATGCTCCTAATTTGAGGGCGCTGATTAACAGCTTTTCCCTAATCAGTGCAGACAGTTGCACAAATACTTGAAATTCCTTTGATATCCAATGCCTGATTTTTGGCTTTGCTTTTATTGTAAATAAATACTAGTCTACTACTACTAGGCAGGGCCTTGTACTTTCGCTTCTAAATTGAAAAATTACTGAGAATATACATGTGAAGAGAACAGAGGAAGAGAATATAGAATCAGAACTTCTGGCCTCCAACTCAATAGTTTTTTTTTCTTAGTGTGGAATATGATTGCTATCTGAAATCTGACCTGTAAATACTCTTAAATACAGTTTAATTATATGCTTTAAAATACAGCATAAGTATGCTATTGTTCTTTCAATCTTTCTTGCTATTATTTTTTCAGCCTTTTATTATAAAACTTAGTAGTAGGAAACAGACATCTGAATGTGAATAGATAATAAAGTGTTAAGAAATAATACTGTTGACTAACCAAATGTAGGGAGGTAAACTTTCATCATTTCTCAGAACCTATAAAGATTAGGTTAAAGTCAACAAAAAAAGTTAAAACTTGCATAGGTGTTGTTAAGGCGAGGCTGGAAATATTGATTTCAGAAAAAATGCTAGGTATGGCTTGTTTTTAAATAGTCTTTCTGATTTAACATGCAATTTAGATTATGTGGGAAGTACAAAGAATGCAGATAGGCACAAAAAAATTGCAGTAAGACAGTGTTAAAAAGCAGTGCTGTTAGACCTAGTAGAAATGAAAACTATCTTTCTATCTGAGGTAGTATTAATGAATCCTTTAATTGTAACTTTAAGTGGGACCCCTTCTGATCTCTGAAAATCACAGAAATTCTCTTCTGAGATTGGTGGTAGTTATCACCCCCAAAAATTTGATATGGTAACTAGTGCATTGCTGAAGATGGAATTGAGCAGTACTAAAATGCAGATTAGAATTTGTTAACAAAAGAGCAAATAAATGATTAACAATTGTGTATTGGTTCATTAAATGAAGTACTGAAGTGGCTGTTACCAGATAGAATAGTATCACTTTGCTACATAAGCGAACAGCAGCGGCATGATTTTCTTTTTCTGTTACCTGTTAGTGAAGGATCTTCAGTACCATCTCCAGGCACCTGGCTTTGAAGATGAACATGGTCTGTAGGTGAGCTTAAGCGTTCTTCTTGTTCTCGTAGGGAGATGGAATTTTTGTGGGGTGCATTGTTCATGTTTGTGCCTAGGCTGCTCACGGGGTTTGTCTGTGTGACTTCTGTGGTTTTCCTGCTTGGTGGCTGGTAAACCTGACTGTAGTGGCCAACAGGATGATATGATGGTTTCTCAGATTTGCTGTCATCATCGTCATCATCAATGATAACTAATTCTGCACGGATAAGCCCATCATATCTTGTCAACTTCTGGTCTGCTTCTGTGTCGTCATCATCAATGCGCTGATAACCCATGAAAATCATTGTAACTGGTTCTGAATCATCCACGTAACATGGCACAGCTTGGACCATGCGGTAATGAACATCTTCCTCATCTTGAGGTGCAGGGGGTGCTTCATTAGGATGACAGGAACTTAAATGCCTTGTTTCATCCTGTATTTCTGTTGTATTCTGAAAAGTTTTTAATTCCTCATGTGCAGCACTTTTCTCATTATCTAGCATCTTGTTCTCAGGATTAACATGTACTTTCTTCTCTGGATCCGAAAGTATTGGAGAGGGAGACTTTGGTGTTACCTTTTGAAGATTAAGCCCGTTCTCTTTGTGTTGCTGTATAAAGGGTTCTGCCACAGGGGAAAATTCTGTCTGACTGCTGAATCCATTTATCTCTCCTTTGTGTGTGTCTTCTTCCAGTTTCAGTCCAGAGATTAATTTGTCTTTCTGAGGAGTATTTGGCCTGTAAAACTTGTTTGCAAACACAGGCTCATGATACTCTGTGGGAGACTGGGAATTTTTTTCATTTGCTTGCCTTAGAAGGTCTTCCACCTCAACAGGAGCAAGTTCATCCATCCTATTTTGCGTTGTGCTGCCATTTGAGGACACTGCATATACTGACTTCCTACCGTCATCATAGACTTTAATTCCTGTCTCTTTAAACTCGTTTGAGGGAAGAGGTATTGTTGACAACACTGTGCTTTCACCTGTCTTCATGTCTTTTTCAACTCTCATTTCCATTGCAAACAGTGCTGTTGAAAGAAACAAGTACTTAATCTGATGATGAAGCAGCTGGGAGATGTTATTGAAGAGTCCTGACTGATGGAGAATAAATGTCAGACTGAATTGGAAAACATGTAAAAGTGTAACATCTGTAACCAATATACTAGGTTCTCATTTTGAATCTCCCTCTTCTGTCAAAATTTGAACGGGAGAAAATATTTCTTATTGGATTTACCTCTTGGAGAAAAATAAGCTGCTGAAAAGCCAATATTTGTGATGTGACTGACTGAGAAAGCCAGATTTAACGTTGGCTTCTAGTGGTGTACTTGGCAATAACAATTGAAAAACCTTGACATGCGACATTAGTTTTGGGCACTCAAAGGGGCTAGGAAGTGTTCTAATTAATAAGAAATAATAACTTGATACTGGCTGCTCCGTGGGTGTAACTACTGGTTATAAAACGTGAAGGGGGAAACTAAAAGTTATGATAGGTAGAGGAATAAGTTACCAGAGGGAAGTGTCAGTGTTGAAAGCATTTGATCTCAGTTTCAAAGGTGCAAGCTGTGCACCAGTGTCCCAACTCTCAGTTTTGATGGCATCACTGATAACTCAATATGGCTTCACTGAGAAGAGCATTGTCCTGTATTGATAATACTTATTCTTTCCTTAAGGCTCATTAGATTCAAGGTTTAGGAAGCTTTTGCAAACACTGGCACCCTTTCCAGTTGTGGTGAGCAGTACCTTTTCTCTTTTCTTCGTCATCGGTGGTAGCATGACCTGCTCTTCTCAGTGCAGAGGGTCTGAAATGCTTGGGAAGGTCGGGTATGTTGGCATATATGTAGTCTGCTGCCTCTGAATAAAGAAGATCCACAATGAGATCCACTATGAATTCATTTTTTACTGGTTTCTATAAGAACCTTTTTTTGAATTGTTTTTTGAGTAAACATACCTCCTTCAATTCCTGCTCTTTCGATCTTCACAGACTAGGAAAGAGAACCATTGGTAAATGTGGATTAGTCAACTTCAAAACTGCGAGGTAAAGAAAAACACTGCCTAGTTATACACATGACTTCATGATGAGAGGTACCTAAAGATGGAGTCTGCTCAGCTGGATCATGGCATGTGGGAAAGAATTTTTTTTGTCATCTTTCCTAATCTGATCTCAAGTCACACAAAGTAAGATATAAGGCATTAGAAAGTTAACAGTGAGACAGCCACACACTGTGGCCCAAACTGGTTGTCTTCAATGATTCTCAAAGGCTACAATTTGGTGTTCCAGTTATGTAACTCTCATCTTATTTTTAAAGCGTATGTGTATTGTTAAGAACTGGAGAAATGAAGCTGAGTTTCATCAGTACTTTTTTTTTTTGAGGCTTTGAAATATCAAAATGACCTTTAGACAAAAGTGAATGATAATGTTAGGTAATGTTTCACTCTCCCCTCTCTAAGGGGAAAGCTCGATGAGGTTTAACCAGTCACATCGCCTGAAGGAGTGCAAGTTGGTCTCTGCATCATTATGACTATCTTTTGCTGTGGTGCAATGTTACTGATTGGTGGCAGTGGTATTTTCTTGTTATGTGCTATGAATGAGTAATATGAATTGCCTTCTGACCTCCATCCCTTGCCCCAAAATGCAAATGGAAACATGGGCACTTGAACAGTATAATTTCTTAACCCCTCTTTATGTTTGAATTACTGTTGCTTCAGAAAAAAGTTCATGACCACTCACGTGATCTAGCTAGTTCTTGTTTCCTTAATTATGACGATGAATGTCTAGTGCATTCTATGTCTTGAGTAAATTTGGTACTTACCTTGATTATGTCTTCTGTTGTTTTCTCAACTGATTTAAGTTTCATTAAAATAGCTTCTTCCTTAGCTGAGACTTTAATTTCCTCTTTTTCAAGGGCCTCTATTTCCTTCTCCAGTCTGCAATTGCAATTCATTTTGATTTAATACCACGTAGAGAGCAATATTGCAGATTCAGTTAATGTTGAATGCAGACATTAGGAAGGCTAGCTGTAAATCTCGCTCTGATATGGAATCAGCTTAGAATTTCACACGCCTCAGAAAAAAACAGAAGGTATTCTCAAAAAAAAAAAAAAAAAAGTATGTTACAGGTTCCTTCTGAGCCCACTGTGAAAGCAGCGGCTGAGATTATGTATTTTTCATTAGGGAGTAAGTAAGGAATATGTACCCCCTCACAGGATTTCCTCATTTTAAGCAAATTTTGTCTCTCCATTGTCTCAAGGAATTTGATTGTCTCCCATGTAATTATGATATAGGAAACAAATCTAGTTACTGACACTAGGGTTATGACTTTTTTTCTTCATTCTGCAAGTGTACTTGCATCAAAAAAATGCTAATTCTTCGATTGTAAATGTTGACGAGAACTAAAGAGCTATAGTAGGTCTCCTCTAGTGATGGTCTAGTACACAAATTAAACTTCAGGAGGATCATGCAAAGGAATGTTGTAGGCAATATAGAAGCTGTAATTCCACCAGAACCACCTTTATCCATTGGAATAACATTGTATCCATATTTCTGAGAGAGAAAATGGGTATCATGCTGATATAGCAAGGCTTTGTTTGATTAACAAAAATACCATCTGCAAGTACTCTTAGTGGAGCTAAATTAGGTAAAACAGCACTTAACTAACTTTCTAGTATGAAAACTCAGTAACTCAGAGTGGTAAAGGGCTTTCTGAAGATAGATTCAAAGTCAGCAAGATAAGTTTCTACAGTTTTGCGTATGTGAGTGTCAGTTCTGGGATTTCAGGAAATGAATGTAACAATGCCTGATGAAAAAGCTTAAGCTTGATTCTGGAGATGAAGAAATGCAAGATAATACTGACCTGAAGCTGGAGGGAGGGAGATTGAGAGAGTTATTGCAGCATTTCTCACAGCAACACAGGCTTTTGTCTAGTCTAAAAAACTTAAAATCACTTAGCTTTAAGAGTTCCACTTTAGGTTTGTAAGCTAAGACATTTGCAGCCACGCGATTGTTTCCTAGCTGTTGATCAACTTGTGTATGTGATTCTCTGGGAAAGTGCTCATATCATGTCTGGAAAGCATTCATTTTCAGCAAAACAGAAGTAATGTAAGTCGCAGTGGATTAATTTGTCAAGGACAAGCAGCCTGGAAGGTTTGTGTCTGCAGTGCCTGCTCAAGTAATGTCCTCACAAGCATTACAAATCCATTTGCATGAGAAATCGCGTAGTTCATATAAGCATTGACATATCACATCAGGTGATAAAATGTGCATTTATGTGACATTTTCTGCATTAAGAAACAACTTTTAACGGTTCATTTTTTTTTTCTGATTGCAGCTAAGTCTTGTCAGTGTGACTGCTTTACAAAGACTACAAGCCTATAACTTAATATCAAATACACCAACTCCAAGTTCTCTAGGTCAGCACAATATTCAGGACTTGGTTCATCAGTCACATTTAGTATTACAAATCAGAAGTATCTTGTCAGTCAAGACATGGCTCAAAGTTATTTTCTTTAAAAGCTCTCATTATGTAAAAGATCAAAGCTCAATAGTCAGAATTTCTTTTGGGCCGTTGACCTGTACATTACTTAACAGGGGCTACTGCTCCCTTCTTTCTCTCCTCATTTTGTTATACGCTTAAGCTATGCTATACAGTTTCTTGTACACTAAGTAAAATTTTTAAGGTATCTCTTACTAACGTTTTCACTTGTTTAGCACAAAGATGCTTGATGAATCACTTCTAGTCAGGAAGGTTTGGGACAAAATATCTTGTCTCTGTAAACATGAGAACGAGAAATCTATGCCTATTCAAGGTATAACCTATAAGGTAAAATATCTTGGTCAAATTCTTTTCTCTGATGTGACTAAGTGGCAGTGATATTAGGGAGGTGTCCCTTATTTTTCATTTTTGTAGTTAAGATGCTCATTCTGCTGAGGCACGTATTTGTTGAGATTTAGATAGAAGCTTGTGTTGCAGCTTGGTAATCTTGGAAGTAGCTTCTCTGTCCAGAATCAAGTCCCTAATTCAGCTCTGAGCTGGAACTTGATCTCCTGTATAGCTTCAGTATCCTCATTCATCTCTTTTTTGGAAATATTTTTTTTGGTTGTTGTTTTAACTTAAGGGGAAAACAAAACAAAAGCAAATTTCAGACTGTTTTGTATTTGACTGAAATAACACCCCTCGTTTTTGAATCTGTCAGAAGTTGGTGAATGTAGGTTTAAGGCAACTGGAAATGACATCACAGATGCTACGATTAATCATAAGATGATATATCTGAAGTTAAAAATATATGATAGACTGTATCCCAAAATGCTACAAAAAGAAAGCACTATGTTTTACTTCTTTGATTCTTACCAAAGTCAACATCAGTGAAAGGAATCTCCTCTTTTTATAGCAGTAAGCAGACACAGTAGTTACGTGCAAGCCAGCAGAGAAATATTATTTAACTTCTCTATGATAATTTGAGGAGTTTGAATAACATTGTGATTCTTGCCTTTTCAAACTCAAAATCATGAAGCTGTGCTGATAGATTTTTTTTTTTTTTAACTGCTGGTGAGAATCTTTTTTTTTTTTTTTTAAACACAAAAATGGTATCTCAGACCTTAAAACTGTGATGTGAAGAATAGCATGTTCAGGATGAAATTAAGAAAAAAAAACAAAATATCCTTGCAACACTATGAAAGAAACTAATGCAATGACTGTACCATGTTTCTGCACTTATAAAGTAGTATCTAATATTTTAAAATGTATTTTTATCAGAGACTTGATTGCAACATTATAATGCCAAAGATGTTTATTAACAGTTCAGAACCATAATGAACTGAAGGATCATTAAGTTTTGCTGTACTCTGAACTCTAATTGCTGCTAGACACAGGTGGAAGAGAAATCCTGGAAAGATATACTGAGGGGGAAAATAAAGGCTAATTCAGTGCTCAGTGGGGCTAAGGAAGAACTATACCTCTCTCTGTGTGGAAAATTGCAATGAGAACTTGTCTCTTTTATACATGCTACCAGTATTAAGATGTAAATAACTTCTTGGTTCGTTTTCAGAGGATGTTGTTTGCATGCATGCTAATTCAAAGAAATCAAAGTCCTTTTGACTTCATACAGTGGAAAAGAAAAGTTTGACTTATCTCTTTCTAGCATTTAAGTCTTTAGAAACTTCCTAAAAATGTCATTGATTCAGGGTATTTCGTAGTTAATCACAGTTTGTGTTTTGAAAGGTTCTAGCAGCTGCACCGGTTATTATTTACAATAAATCCTTTGAAGGAGCTGCTGCATCTTGCAGATGAATGAAGTATGATGTAGTTACTGTACGAAATCAATCTTATGGATGGTAAGTTATTTTAGAGGGGAAAGTAAGTAATACAAAGCTGGGTTAAGCAAGGGGCTTTAGAAGCTGAGTTTCTAAGTTGTAGGTTCCTCTGCCAAATCAGTAGCTGAATTAGTGTATACTTGTATACAGTGTATACTTGACTGCTACTGGCTACCAGCTCATCTGTTGCAGTTGACACCACTGCCCCTCTAGAAGAAAAAGGTGTACAGGTAAAATGCAGATAGCAGGATATCAGACCAAGGAGAAAAAGCAGCTTAGCAAGTCCTTGCATGTTTTGAGGTGAGTCAAATGCTTCCTTGTAACAGCTCTGGAGTCTATGCACCATTAGCCTGCCTTCAGGTATCACATTACGAACTAGTTGAGTAGTCCTTAGTTACAAGTTGCTGTTTAGTGACTAATTCTGTCAAGAATGAACGTTCTTTGCTGCAAATCAAGTGATAAAACGAGACTGATTCTTCGTTCACTGCATTCCCTGACATGAGCCATGCACACATGGCTGATTATGAGCTGCACCATATAAAGATGGTGAGAGGAAGAGATGGTGTAAGTGTTGTTTCTGTCTGTAACCAGAGTTCTGAGCTACTGTAAGGTGACACAGGCCACCCTCTATTCACTGTTTTATTGTCGATACAAAGAATAGAACCTTCCCTTTTATCTTGAAATGCCCAAATCCTAACTGATTAGTACATAAATGCTAACTCTATTTGACATCCAAGTAAAGATTATTTCAAAATGGGGGCCTATTTAAGAAGGTGAAAGAAACGCCTCTGTTGGGAATAACGTGCCTACAACTGCAAGCAATTCTCTCAGTAAAGAGAAACAGGCTGTTATGTGGGTACTGGGAAAAAATCTTTAAAGCTTTTTTTTTTTTTTAAACACTGAAACTGGAAAACAGAATAATTATCAGACTGGTCAGAGTGTACCTGAAGCAACAGTGAAACATAATAATCAAAGGCGTGGTAGAAAGAATTCCATTGAGCTTCTCAATATGCCTTGTTTTTACTGCTTGACAAGTACGTACATGAACAGTATAGCAATTTCTGACTTTGTTTGGAGATGCGACTTCATTTAATGTGTGCGAAATCAGGCAGGCTTCTGCTAGCTTGAGTGCTGTCTATGGTACAACAAAAGTACTGTGCACATGTGGTGCAGTTATGTTTTGTGACTTTTAGTGGACTTTGTTCACTTGACTTGGACTTGATGTTATTAGCTTTTTGTGTCTCTGACTGGTTTGAAACTGAGTTGGGTCTGAACAACAAGACATGGTACCTGGAAAGACAGCATAGATGCTTCTGTAGAGGCTGTTGCCAGAAACTACTGAACACTGGCAAAAGTATAATTCATACATGTATGTGTTTGATAAGAATAAATCTGCTTAACCTGCTAGTTCAGAGAGAAGTTTTCATGTGATTCAAGATCTGTTCTCTCTTCATTCTTCATACATAAAATCTAATATTCTTGCTGCACTCCTCTGTATAGCATGAAGATAAAAGTTGTTAAAGTCTCTAAGGCGTACTGATTACTTAGTAATGGGAGTAAATATAACGATAATGAAATTGTTTAAAGGTCTTGCTAGGAAAAGAAACATCTAAACTGTTCTTATAACTTCAGCAACAGTGGTATAAACTCCTTTTCCACTGCTGATTGTTTCAGTAGTGTTTCTCCATTGTTAACTCCACGATCAGGAATTGGTCAGTGCATTTCTGCACTGATTCTCATTTCCAGGATGCAGATTTATCTTGTGCTCTGTCTTGGCTGTTGTTTGGTGCACTTTTTTTCTGGTGACCATCAACACTAATTATTTTCTGTTTGCTGTACTGCAAAACACATCCATGACAGATGGAAATACTTGCTACATACCACTTTGTTGTACTTGGGAGGTTTCTTATTGTAAAAGTGAAGACTGTCATTTTCTGTTACATTTTCGGTTATTTTTTTACATTTTATGTTTATCAGTTGTCTGATGCATTTCACTCCAAATGAATGAGCTATGAGCTATTTCCAGAGTTAGGAGTCATTTTAAGGAGGAAGCAGAGTGGGTGAGCTTGCCAGGAGAAGCTCGCAGGTAAGACAAGTTAGTTGATGATACTGATATTAACAGCAGGTGGTTGTGGAAAGATTTAATTAACCATGGAGAAACAATCAATTCCAAAAATACTATGAAACATTCAGAAGTTTCAGTAACCAGTGTAGTAAAATAAATAGCCTTATTTTTGTAGAAAAATAAACTATGTTTGTAATAGGAAGAGAAAGGCCAGCATATGCAATCAAACATTTAATGTTTAATGTACAGTTATGCAAGTCAGTTACTTCATTTTCATCATTATTTACATTGCTGGTTTATGGTTGAAATCTCAGCCATCTAGATACGAAAACATAGTTTGTTTTCATTTGCATGAAATAGCTGTGGATGTTTCATCTTTGGAGATGACCAAGGCTGAATTGGATGGGACCGTGGGCAGCTTGACGTGGTGGGTGGATGGTGTGCGACCAGCCCACAGCAGGGGATGAGAAATAATGGGCTTTAAGGTTTGTTCCGACCCAAGCTGTATGATTATGCGGGAAAAGATGCTTTATGATTTCTCTTAAGTACAGGATTATAAATAGGAGGCAGTTTAAAAAAAAAATAACAAAACAAAACTGGCATCCCTGCATTTGGCCTACAAGGAAAAGGTGCTTTTATTTTTCCAGACAATATCAATCAAGTCTCTGGCAAAAATTCAAGTAGGGATGTATCAGACACATTTCTATAGTTAGGCTAGTACAGGCTCAGGCATATATTAAGTTTAAGAGCTCAGGAACTTCATCTTATACTTGTTTGGTGTAACTTGTGTGCTTATGTGATGCAGTACTAAGCAGACAGCCTTCCCATTCACAGTGAGTCTGCAGCCAGCCCTTGACATCTTACATTTGTGTGTGCATACATATGTAAAATATACACGTCATTTAAGTAAGCAATCAAGTACAAATGAATGGCTTGGCACTCTTATTTTTCTTTCCTTAAAGCATAATGTGTTTAGACTCTTTTCAATGCCTTTGACCACCTTCTAAAGTATTTAGAAGCTTCTAATTCAGGTAAACTTCAAAAATGTATTATCCTTCTCAACTCCAATGTGGAATTAAAACAGAGAACCTAAATCTGCCTGATGTTAATGTACCCCTACAAATTAAAGGATATTTTCAGTTTTGAAGTTCTATTTTGATTACTGTTTTCTATTTGTAACTGTGATAAATTCTACTCAGGCTATAAAAAGCTTATATGGCTGCATTCAGAGAAGTAAGGTGTATGCATTCAGGGAAGTATGGGCACAGTAGAAGATTAAAACTAGAAACAGCACAAATAGAAATTAACAGCACCAAACTGAATACAAAACAACAATTACAAGACAAGCTTTAAAAGACTCTTCAACTACAGCGAGAAACTCAGGATTCTGAGATGTTGCGAAGGCATTATATATGACTAGGTATGATCTTCAGCCCTTTTTGCTGAAATCTCTTGACTAGTATGATAGGATGGTTTTTAAGTCTCAAACCAGCTTTCCAAGTCTTCCCAGAAATAGAATGGGAGAGTTTGCTACCAGTGTTACTAGGAGGCAGCTCAATTAGTGACTTGGGTGTGGGCCGTCCCTGAAGTATGTTATCAGGTAACAGATTAGACTTAAATGCTGGAGATCAGTACCTTTCCTGATGAAATAAATACTTCAATGTTCAATAAGGAGGTGCATGTATCAGAAGTCCATGCTACTGAAAAAGAAAACTTTTGAACATTTACAGACCTCCACTGTAGCAGCATTGCTTGTTTTCTTAGGTGTCATCAAATTAATTGGCAGCAGAGTAGATTATATTTTGTTCTGCTGATATTATCCTTCCCACAACAATCCACACACCAAATCTGGATCATGACTTCAAAAAAAAACAAACCCTCCTCACCAAAATTATTAGCGCACAAAGGAGACTTCAGCTACATGTCCAGCTCAAAGTCGCAGCATTTTTTTAAAATCTAGTCTATCCTCCTTAGTACTCAGAGAAGCACTGAGCTGCCAGTGGGCTGGTGCAGAGCAGCTGCCTGCTTTGTGCAACTTCCCTGGCACTCTGAGGCCAGCCCTTCCCCACATATCTCCTTTTCCTGGTGATCACACTGTCATGGGGACTCATCTCACATCTTTATAAAGATCACCACCTCTGGGGATGTTTTCCAGAGCACACTGTCCACACTGTCTGTTTTCTACTGCTTCAACAAAAATTCTGCAGAGGTACCTGAAAAGCTCTGTTGATAAATGTTTCCTAGCAAGAAGTCAGCTTAATTATAGGACAAATCAGAACCAGAATTACCATTTGCATTAGAGAGATGGACATGACAGCTTTGCCAAAAGTGTGTAGGAGGACAGAGGGGGGAGAGGAGAGCATGGAGGAAGGCACCACTGAACTGAAAGAGTAAGAAATAAGGGTGATGATTCTTTTCTGAATCTAAAACAACAGAAATATTTCCAATTGGCAGTGGCTGCTAAATGGGAAGTACCCGTTGGTGTGCCTGGATCTGTTTTGTGTATTGAGCCTTTCTGTTTTTGGGAAAAGCTACCTTTGCCTAAAAGCATCCACAATTACATCCATAGTAAATAAAGGAAGGAGATGAGGAACTGCCTGTGTGGTTCAAATTCGGCCCTGTGTGGGAGGGCAGCATGATAGAATGAGATTTATAGAGGCATTTTTATAAAGGTTACAAGAAGGACCTTCACTGCAACAGACTTCTGGGGTTAAAGTGAGGACACAACAGTATGGAAGATATGCAAGAAGAAGACAAGGCAAGATTATAAGATTATATGATAAGATAGGCAAGCTAGGCAGCTTGTACTGGTCAGAAGTGCTGAGTTCTGGAAGAAGTCAGGTACAAAAAGTTGTGCAGGATCTACTGAAACAGAACTTCTTACATGACTTACTGTTATTTCAAAGTTTTGATTTAATAATGTCTATCTCAAAGTGAAACCACGCTCAGTGACTGGCTTACCATCAAGCACAGCATGATGAAAGGAATACTCTTCAAAATATTGTGCAGTTTAAGAAAATTCACAACATAGAAATCTGTGTTTTGTGGGCTTAATTTTAGTTGACCAGAAAATTGAGTAGGTTGCTTTATGCTGCACGTCGAACCACTTCTATTTAGCCCTCACTGACACTGTAATCTTTCACAAGGAAGAGAGAGATTTTTAAGGAAGGACCATTTAAACTCAGACAGAGGGGCAGCGGTACATCCCTACCTGGAAATGTCATCTTCCAGCTCACGAGTTTGCTGTTGGTCCTCTTGATTTTGCTTTTGCATTTCTTCCTGCTCTTTTGGTGTGAGAGAACTGAAGCCATCCAAGAGCCATTTTTCTCGTAATGCCTTTTTCTGATGGGGAAAAATAGAGTTGTACTTTAAAAACTGGGCTAATCAGAAGTTTATTGTATTTATCTTGCTGTCATAGATGTATTTTTGTGCTGTATCTAGCATAAGGCAAGGGGTGAAGGGGCAAATGCCACTGAAAAAAAAAAACACAACTGAAGATGCCATGTTTCAAGGTTGACTTAAAAACAAATTCAGTAAGAACACTGTCACATTTGATTTGTTCATCCAGTGAAAAGGTGGAGGGTATCAGTTGCTACCTGTAACAGATTAATATTTCTGAAGGTCAGAGCACCACTTAGTAAAGTAAACATTTGGGTCAAAGCATACATATTACAGACTCACGCAGAAGGCTTCAGTCAGAAGTCACCTGGTTCCTTGGCTGATGGTGCTACACAAATGCTGATAAAAGATGAAAATCTTCTGTAAATGAGATTGTATGGGGTGGAGAGAAGAGATCTACAGGGAGTCAGTGATGCAATGATATCTCCTGAGTTTATAGAGAACTTGGGTAATTAAGTATTTTATCTGGTGAAGAGTGGGACTGAAAATGTGAAGCCTGTGATGTTGATATCTGGTTAATGTACCAGTAGACCTCCTACATGTTTAGAATCCCTACTCTTGGGTCAATTCAGGGGTCACATATCTATGCTCTGATCTGTTTAGTGCCTGTGGAGATTTTTGTACAGTAGTGGCTTGTAAATAAGTGTCTTGCATGTGTATGTATATAGTCTAGCTAAGTAGATCTGTCTTCAAATTCTGAAAAATCTGGCTGTACACACTGATTCTTATGGCCACTTCACAACATCAACAGTTGCATGTGAAAGTAATTCCATAGTTCAGTTACTTTTGGGGAGAGAAATATTAATGGAGATAAACTTCAAATTGGTAGGTTAGAGGTTGTAAGCCAAGCTTTCTTTCTTTTCCCTTCCTTCAGTTAACTTGAGAATATAAATCCAGGTCTGCCTTAGGGAAGAAGAGCCAGAGCTCTTCAGTGAAACTTCTTCAATAAGAGGGAAAAAAAGCATATAAGGCTTTTAATTAACTCTGATTTCTCTTTGCAATTTAGATTTCTTGAGCTGTCTGATAGTCATGTTTTTGTTTTTTCCTTTTTATCCCTCTTTGTAGCTTTGTTAATTGTAGGATAAGGCTGAAGACTAAATTGGATTTTGACCATTGCAGCTTTGAGGAAGAGTAGCACTAGCGAGAAGTCTGTCTTACTCTCATAGCTGCTTGGAGGGGTAGCTGGGGTCTCTACCTGCCTCCTGCACACTGAATTATTTAGAACACTTCTTCCTTGTTTTTTTGCTGTGAGGTTTCATGTGAGGTTATTACTGAGACCCAGCTGGTGGTAGAGGATGCATATGGAACCTTACTGCAGTTAAATGCACATTTTCAACTGGCTTTGTGTGTGACAGCTGTTCTGATTGAAACTGCAGGTATAACAGGCTTGTTGGGAACTGTGGCACTCCTTGGTAGTATTATTTTGCAGCAATTAGGAGCAGTGCTTACAGACATGCTAGCCCTGCAGGACAGTATTGCCTCGCAACGCTGGATCCTAGGATATCTGCAGGAAGCAGAGGCTGCTGAAGAATTCAGTCTTGAGCCTTGACCCTGGGTTTCCTCAGCAGCCTTTTCCAACTTCATGGCAACAGTATTTTAGGCTCAAATGAAAGTTGCAAATATTTTAATGGGGTGGTTTTACCCGATCTGGTAGAGGCTTGTAATTTGGTATTGGCATAATTCTTATTGATCACAAAAAATATCCCTCTCCCAAGTCAGAGGGAGCACAGCTATCATTTCTGAGTCAAAGTATAGATTTTAGTGATAAGAAGTACTCCTGGAAATATGAGATTTTAATCCTGCTTGGAACTGACAGTTTTGCTCTGCTGACTCAAAAAAATAAATCTCTAATACCTTGTGAAAACTGCAGCACGGCTGGTACTGTAGTCCTCAGAAACTGATAATATCCATTGAAATCAAATCAATAAAATATGTGTATTTCAGGTTAGACCCAAGAAAAAACAAATTCCCTAAATGCAGATGTAACACATTGGTGTTATTTTTGCATTTTCCTAGAATAGTTTGCTGCTGCTCACAACTGCATATCATGAAATCCCACAAATTTTCTTAGCTGCTTCTGGAAGAGTGACATGTTACATAGCAGAAACACCCTTTGAACAACAGAGAACTTTTAGGTGTTTGTCAGAGACGGCTGCTCTGCGGAAGCACTGGCACAGTTGTGCTGTCAGGTTTTTATTTTTCTGCTGACAGCATTTCCTTCTGCTGTAAAGCATCTTCAGTGCAGTACTAGGTTATGCGTGCTTTACCATGTTGTAGCTCTAATATGAAAGCACATTTCATACAGGTCTTGTTACTTTCGAGGAAAAAGATGCTTATACACTCTGATCTGACAAGACCATGGAAATGTCCTGAATTCTGGAAAGTGATCCTTTTCTTCTGTGGTTCATTGTCACAGCTCATGTGACTAATGTATGCAAATTCTGTGAATGATGTCCTAAATGTGCTGCTGGGTTAAGTCTACTGTAATTAATTCTTGACAAGGTTGAACCAACCCTGAAAGGTTTCAGCTGTGCCTTTGGAAGGCACAGGTGTTTTGAATTTGCAGGCTTTACTCTCACATTGTAACAGCAGTTTATCTTAACAGTTTGCTGAGAGAAACAAATGCCTCCCTGGAAGCTGGATGTGGCTCTGGGCAGCCTGGTCTAGTGGTTGGTGACCCTGCACATAGCAGGGGGTTGAAACTAGATGATCATTATGGTCCTTGTCAACCCAGGCCCTTCTATGATTCTATGGTCTGTGTAACAGTGGGAGTTAGGTCATCACTCTTGTGTTCTGTTAAAAACAGTAGTGATGAATAGGGGGATGTCCAAACAGGTAACTCTCTGTCCTTTCTTTTAAGAAGAATGAATTATTTTGAATTAATAAGTCAAACTTGAAATATAAATTGCAGCACTCTATACATGAGGAGGAAGACAGTCACACGTTCATTATTAGTCACAATTTTGTTACTGTTATGGTATTTGGAAGATATTCCTTTCTCACTTAGGTAATAAATTATACGACTGTGTGTACTCACATTCACTATCTTGCAATAAAACCCTAAGCATGAAGCACTTTCTCATTGGCTTGCCTGTCCCAGTAAACCAACATAGTATAACTTGGCTTGACAGAAAAGAGAAGGTAGATGAAACCTGGGAGCAGGTGTCTGTTTTGAAGGGGATTATGTTTTAAAAATGCTCAGTGAAATGTGCCACACCCTAAATACTGCATTCCACGTCTTGCTTGAAAAACTTTATCTCCTCCTACATAATAGTGCATTTAAAATACCACAATTGCCTATTTCTAGAAACAAAAATAGGATTTTTTTTTCCTTCTCCCTCTGCCTGAAAACAAAATAGTTCAATTATACCTCCTGATTATGCCATTTTCCATACTAAGTGAGGTTGCTGTAGTGGAATTAGGGAGTGAAAATATCTAGTCTGAAATGTGAGGCTTAATTTTCAGCTGTGAATTTTCTGATTTGGATCTCATTTTATGCCATAAAAGTGACTGAGTAGCACTAGCTTTTAAGTATGATTTACGTTTATTTATTTATCACCAAAACTTGATGCTTATTAGAGTCAAATGGAGTCCTGCCAAGATTTCAGAAAGCCCTGAAAATTTGATAGTAAAACCATGACTTAAATGCATGGAGATTTGCATTCCAAAACTCTTATTCAAGTTGAACAACTTAAAGCTGTGTCTTTAATTATATAAACCCAGCAACTTACCTTTAAATGCTGATGTTTCAGTTTTTCCTCTTTAATTATATAAACCCAGCAACTTACCTTTAAATGCTGGTGTTTCAGTTTTTCCTCTTCTATTTTTCGACGTTTCTGTGCAATTTCTTCTTGCAGTTTTCTTTTGTCCTACAATTTAAGAGAACAGAAGAATGGTTTACTTGGTACTAAAAACAGTGTGGCTTGTTTGTTAGGATGATGAGAATAAAGACTAATGCATCCCTCTTAAGAGACAGTTTATCCAGGAGCTGATGTTTTGGAGATACATAATCTATTCTTTGACCTTCACATCTTTCCTTAGTTAGGAAATATTCCTGATCTCAGTGTATAATTGGCCTTTAAATAACTGATCGTTAGTTGAGTGAAGCATGACAAGAACTTGTGTTTATAGACTGATACAATATTTAAAGAAAGTAAAGTCTTGGATAAGGTTTCTAGCCAGAGAATGAACTCTTGATTTATAGTATTAAAAACATTCCAAGTTAATTAAAATGTCCAATAAATATTAGTGGAGATATGTGCTAAGAGTCTGCAGTTTGAAATGCGAAGTAGTACATAAAAATTCTGCACTGAAAGAAATTATTTTGAAGGCATCTGCATTATAAGTGAGTATAAAATTAGAAACCTGTTCAGTAAAGGGTTCTTTTGTCTGTTCCTCTTGTTAGAGTGATACACTACCTTTCCATTCTGTATTTTTTCTCCTGAATTTTTCTACTTCTGTCCTTTGGTGTTCTAGCTGTATTTTAATTTTCCTAGTTGGTAATAAGCATCTATTACAGAATTATCCATACAAAATAGGTTGAAATATGTTGTCTTTTGTACAGTTAGTCAAAGAAAGCTGAAGATCCAATGCCAGAAGCTAAATTCAAGAGATGTAGAGCATGCAAACCCTGTGTTGCCAGAATAAATTTTAGAACATTACATGACACTTCCTACAGTGCACTGTGTGAAACGTAGTCTACAAATGACATCTTGCTGTACAAAGTTTTGACTACTCATACGGTGCAGTAGATGTTTGCCCCTACGTACCTAAGGGATCTGTGCTTCCTCTGAACTCCACACTGTGCTTCTGAATGGAAGTTCACTCATGCTCTTGGGTTAATATGGCCAAGATTTACTTATTTGGAAAAAGCTGCTTAATCACTTTGCTTGCACATCAGTGTAATTTAAAACTTGATCTTTTGTCCTAATTTTCACTCCTACTGAAACATGTAGGACTTCTTCACTTTTGACTGTAAAGAATCATGTTTCAAAGTGGGCCTTTCTGAAAGAAACGGAAACGCGCCTACGGAGCGGTGTCTTTCCAGCTATCTTGTGTGCCAAGTCTGCAAGTTTGTGGCACCCTTCCATAGCTATGCCTATGTTGGTGTGCTTGGTCCTGTGGCAGGTGCCATATGCTATTAAAGCCAATAGAGCAGCTCACGTTCTAGCAAACGTTTTGCTTTCATGTCGCTTTCAAAAAGCGGTGCTTGGTTATTGAGAGGTCTTACCTGGAGGTATGGATGTGCATGTCTAGTGGCGTAAGACAGCAGAAATATTGTAATTATAATCCTTAAGTGTTTCTATTGTTATTCATTTTTCCTGTAGGATGGAGTATTTGAGAGAGGATTGAGCCTAGGGTTCCTTGTTTTTCATCAATGTGTTTGCTACAGCAAACACTATGGTTTTATTTTAAGATATGACAGTCTCTCCACGAAGAGAGCACATGGAAGCTACAAGTGTTTCTTTCCAGAGCACGAGAGTATCAAAATTTGGAAACAATGGGTTTTTGCTTATTGCTGTGGTACACGCAGAAGACATGTAAGAATTTGAAGCCCCCTAGTGGCTGTGAGAGTCATATGCTGTAAGCAAGTCAGACACTTAGCAGAAACCAATTAGCTTTTAGTGCAAGTTTTATCTACTGCTATGTACACCCAAGTCTCCTTTGCTATCCTCTTTTAGATCTTATACAATGAACATTTTGTAGGTAGCTCTTCAGATTTTAAGATAGGTTGTTTGGGAAACATCTTCCTAAAGCCATGGAATAACTTGCTCTCAAAGTGTATCATTTTCTTGCACAACTCAAACTGTTGATTCTTGAAGCTGATGATAACTTCACTTTAAGATCTTTCATTTCTGCAGTACACTGAAGCAAATGCCCTGAGTTGTTTCAATTAAATGTTACGAATTGATGGACATCTACCAAATTAGAGAGTAAATAGTTTATGCAGCAGGTGTAATAAATGAAATTGTGGCCAGAATCCAAGCATGAATTCCTGTAATACACTGGAAGCTGCCACAGACTTCTAATTATATATATATATATATATGATGTGTGTGTGTATATATATATATATACATATATACACACATATACAAAATCCAATATTCCTCTGGTAGCAAAGTTGCAGCCAAAGGATGCTAGCCTTGTTATGTGCACAGAAATCCTTGGCAGAGTGCTGCCCCTTTTGTCCTGACAGATACCAGGAAGTATTAAAATACTGCAAGGCCTGGATTTCTTCTCTGCAGCTCTAAAACATTTCTTATCTTTTGAGCCTGTACACTAGAGACAAAGTCCAGGTTATGAGTTGGGTTTAAACACCGTTAGAGTAAACAAACAAAATTTTCTAACTGACCCCCCTCTCCTCCCCCCCCCCCAAACATTTCAAATGACCCTTATTGTGGGTTTCAATCAGTAAATATGATAAATGGACCTACTTCTTTTTATTAGTTGTTATCTATTAAAGACAATCTCAATCTTATTCAAGTCCTGTAGATACTGAGTTCTCACACCTTTCAGTTCTAATAGGTTTTGTTTTTAATTTTGCCAAATTCTGTTTAATACTTTGGCAACTGTTTGGAGTGGAGATGAAATCAGAGGAGAATTTGGATTTAGCCATTGATTTTCAGAGTCACCTTAAATTTATGTGTGTATATATATATATATTTAATAACTCAGTAGTTTATTCAAAACACAGAATTCTGAAGTAAATTCCCCTTCAGAAACAGAAATGATTTTAAGTCTTCAGTTTTAATTTCACTCAGCCCTTATTTTTCCCCCTTTGGAAAACGACAGGTAGGAATTTGCTTAATTTGAGCTTCTCTTTTTTCTTTTTAAGGTAGAGCATGAGTTCAGCAATTTTGTTTAATTCCAAAATGCAGAAAGGAAAATCTTTCACCTCTCCATTTTGTGAAATAGTAAAACTGAGTTGTTCTGGAATTCTCTATCTGTCTTTTGACCTGCTGTCCTTCAAGCAAACATTCGATTGTGATGATAGTAATACGTATTTTAGACTGTCCAGTAGCAGCTTGTACACGTACTTTCACTACTTTAAATTCAATTTGAAAGTGTAAAACAATCAGTAGTAAGATCAGTGCAGGCAACTTAGCTGTCTTGGATCAATAGCTTATAAACCAGGATCAAAATGAAAGAATTTCTAGAGAATGTATTTTTTTCTTTCTGATATGAAACATTCCTCCGGAAATACACAGTGACTCATTAATACATTGTTTCTAAGCTGATTTTTAAAAGCAAGTTAGAACTATAAGCACTTACTGTTATGGCCTGGAGTCTTTCCTTCAGCAATTCAGTTTCGTCCATTCTAGAAATCAAAAACAGACAAGTAGTGGAGAAGAACAGAAAGAGAACATAAGCAAAAGCCTCTTGATGGGGCTGCAAAACAGCTGAGGTGATTTAATCCAATTCCAGAGCAGAGGGAAGGCAGAATTTTTGACTTGTCGGGAGAGTCCCTGAACAGACGAGCAGATCAGTCCAGACAGACGCATGTAATGAGGGTGTGTAGAAGAGGCAGACGTGAAGAGTGCTGGCATGAGTTGACTGACAAGTTGGAACAGTGGAGCACAAACCCTTTTCCTTCAGAAGCTGCCAACTCTTTGTTTTAATGTGCTCTGTTAGCATGCCATTGCTTCTTTAACTGTTGAATGCCCAAAACAGAATCTGCCAGAGCTATGGTAGAAATATCATTATGTTTCTGTTTCTTTCCTTTCTGCATGCCTCTGGTGGCAAGCAGATATTGTGAACTTAAGTATTTTTATTTCTTGTGAAGCTTGTTTTACCTGTAATGTTTTAATCTGTTGTAATGCTAGCAGTGTAGCTGGTGTGGGGTTTGTAGGGACAGCACTTTTAACTTGATTTCCGAGATGGATTTTTAGGGAAGCTGTATGCATAGCTGGAATAATCTTTTGCAGATAATAACCTAAATGAAATGAATTTTAAACAGTCAGCTATAACGTTGAACGCTAGTATTAGCTGAGCTGTAATTGCTTAGATTATCTCAGACTCAGTGGAAGCTTTGTCTAAGTAAGGATTTTGGGATCATCATTTCAGTGTCTAAAACGACAGTGCTGTGTTAGGTGACTGCAAAATGACTCTCACACTGAATTTCCATTCTGCTGACTTGAAGTTTTTTTTTTTTTTCCTGCATGCTTCTGCTGAAAACTGCATTATGCTCCTCAAAGGAAGGTGTACATTCTGACCTTTCCAATTCCAGGAGTGGAAGTCAGCCTTCCAACATCAGCTTAGGAAACTTGCAAAACAAGTGGAACCGCCTGCAGTGAAATCCAGTTGTGGAAAAAATACTGACACAAAAGCATGATAAAGATAAATTCAAACAGCATGAAGTTGTAATGTGAATCTGGACTCTCTTACTCTCAGTATCATGTAACTCAAGTCTTTGCAAGGGTGCAAGGACACCAGCATGAGAGTCAGCATGTTTTGTTGTTTTTTCTTTCTACTAATACATTGAGATGACTGACCCCAGCAGGATTGGGTGAGGTGTTTTACTTTACGTGTCGGTCTTGGCAAATCAGGCTCATTACTAACAAATTCTCTAAGATGCTATGAGACTGAAAACTTGAAGTTGCATACTCATAATCCAACACGAACAAATATTTAATTTCAGTTTCCACCTTTCTGTTACGCCATCCCCAGTCCACATACCGGAGCAGACTCCAATTCTCCACACAGAGACTAAGGATGCGTTAATGTTGTTTTCTGCTGAGATCCTCCCTGAAGATTTGTTCAAACATGCAAGACCCCGTGCTTAATTCTCCAATGAAGATTATTATTTTTTGTAAATATTAATATATGCTTCACTTGCTCAGCACCCGAAATTTAAAAAAAATTACCACATAAAAGCAAATGAGGAGTTCAAAGGCAAGTGTATTGAGTTATATCAAGAGCTAGATTACATGGAAATTTAAATGTATTTAGTTCATGGATTTGAGAATAAGTTCAACTACTCTACTGAATTAAAGATACTCTTGCTACAGAAGCCAGTAGAGGCTTTCTGTTTAATCTTTCTTAAATGAGTATGGACTTCGTTTCTTCTTTTGTTCTTTAAAGTTCATCTTAATATTGAAGTGCTTATGTGGATTTCAAAGTGTTTAAGCATAGTTAAAGCAGCAAATGATTACATCAGAAATAGAGAAGTATATTATCTGTTCTGATATAAATGGGGTTCAATTATCAGTGCATGAAGAAATGAGACCAGTTTTACAGGTTCAAAATTAAAATAAATGGGATTACATTGCTTTGAATTTCTATGATCTAAATTATTTTAGTTTTGAAGCATAAGATTAATAATTTAAATGTTAAAAAAACACCTTACTTACAGATGTTACGTATTTACAGACCAAAAAATTATTTAATGTCATTCCCTAAATTGAAACAGGTTTTTTAATAAACCTGAAGAAGGCTACTTAAAGCCCTCTTAAAATGTTTTAAATCATATATATTCTCTTGCTAGGTAGGCTCTGTTGTTCACTCAGTAGGTTGTTTTGCAGTTATCTTAATCCTATTGGAAATGGGATTTATGTGCAAGAGAAGAAATGGACCAGCTGTCACTCTGTCTGCTGCTTAAGCCTGCTTCACCAATGGGAGTATCCACAGGGTCATGTTGTCAGATGAGTGAATACTAACAGCTGTGTTTTCAGTAGGCAAGATTCATTAACCTGTGTTTCTGTAACTGGCAATTGTTTTTTTCCTTGATTATCTGAGTTATGCAGAAGATGTTTACTGTATGGCTGTGTGATACAGGTTGTATTTTTGTGGCTTCACTTCTTTCCTTGTTCACTTTCGTTTTGTACTGGACTCTTAATACAGGATTAATAGTGAGAATGCAAAGCATGTGGTAAAGCAGTTGAATTATGAAATGAAACAGAAAAGTGGGCTTAAATGTAGGAGAATGGAATATCAAAAATCCAGAAGTAGGACTACTGAAGAACTATCTCAGTGAGAAATGCAGATTATATTGTTAATTTCTAGAGCAAAGACTGAATCTTGGCACAGAGAAATCCCTTCTCTTCAGAACTGATGCAGCTGTCCCTCTGTAGGCTGTGCCATTTGAACAAAACCATCCTCAATTCTACTCTCAATTTTCTTTGGAGGAAAAAAAAATCATTAACCTAAGGTAACACCTGTATGATGAATTATAGATTATTGTAGTAAACTGTTCCTTCTAAGAACAAACATCTTGTTAAAGGTAAAGAGAAGCTTTCTCACACCTTTTGGAAAATACATATAAGGAAGTGAGTTTGAAATGAATAGCACTGAGCAGATTGTTACCTGTTGGAGACAGCTGTACTTTTTGGAACGATTGGTTGCTAATTTCACAATTCATCTTTTTGTACATCTTAAACTGTTTTGCTTCTTGATGAATTGCTTTTGTAGAGCTGCTTTTGTAGTTCCTTTTTCTTTTTAGAGTAGAAGAAGGGTCTCTCACACAGAAATGAAGTGAATTTAGTATTCTTACAGTGAGCAAATGCACTGTTGCTGTGCATGTAGCCTTGAATTTCTGACAGCAGGGGAATGAAGAGGGGATAAATTTTATGGAAGATCCCTCATTGAAAATGCCATAGCTTTCTGTAAATTAAACCAAAGCCCTGGTGTTTGAGATGCCTCAGTTGATTGACATGTGGTCTCTAACATTCAGAATTAAGATTTTGCTTTTTAAAGGTGAAAAACATCCCAACAAGAATTAGAAAAACTGAAAATCTGAAAACTTGTGCTTATTCTTGATGAAGTAGGTATAAATGCACAGCTAACATATTTAAGCAATTTTACCTGGAATTTTTGTTAAAGGCTTTCTTATTGGCTTTATGCTATTTCATAGCATTTTCAAAAGGAATGAGGTTCATTTGTTTTATTTAAATGCTGGTTTAATGTTTTCAAAGCTGAAGGTGGTTTACACCATTAGCCTGTAAAGTATTTCCAGCTGGTTCAGTCACCAGCGTGTTAATGTTGCACAGTAAGGAGAAAACAGTGTCCAGATAAACTCTGGTGGGTTCATTGTGGTGCTGATTTTCTTGACTAGAAAGTATAGCTGTACTTATGGATGGAAAACTTACCCATGTGAAAATGAAATACATGAAGTTGAGGGACTTCAGTAGCAGCACCCATTGCATTACATCTGTTTTACTTTAAATTGAACTCTTAATTTTGTCAGGCATCCATAAAATTGTGAATGTTAAGCTGAACTGATAGGTGTTTCATGGAATAACATCTGTTCTTAAAGGAGAAAAAAGCTTTAAAATGAGAAGAACCTATCAAGATAAAGTTGAAAACTATCCCAGAATGTAGTATTTCGTATCTAAATACATATAGGTATACATGTATGTTAGCAATTAGTAAAAATACTTGGTATCTGTATGGGAATATATATAGATGTAAATACTGCAGGTAGGGCTATGTGTAACTACCACATTAGTCATGCATAGCATGTTCCATGGGGGACTTTTCTCACTGTTTTCCTTCCTGGCTAAAATATCTACAACTCTATCAGTTTCTGTAGGTCTCTGCACCTTTAATCTAGCAGCCTGTTTAGCATATAGGATTGCTTGGACATTACTGAGTGAGTAAGAATTAATGATGCTTTCTTTAATACTTTAGTTAGAATCCGGATTGTATTAGTTTGTATATTGGAGGTAAATTGAGGTGAAAATGAACAGAAAAAAAGCCCACACAAATGCCCTTCTATTCGATTACACAATATTAGAAATCATATAAAAATAAATTGTGTATATTTCTAGGATTCTAGAGGAAGTTCATAACATAATTCCTCTTGAGAGCTCGCAGAGGTTAAATTTTTGCCTCGAAGGCCTGTCTTGGCAAAGCAACACTTGAAAAATGTTATTAACTACCAGGCAGGTCTTCTACTGTAATGTATTTCTTACATCCTCTCACTGAAGCAAAAAATACCCTAGTGTCCCAGTTCTTACACCTCCATGAAGCTAAATTCTACCATATTTACTTGTTTGAGTAGACACACACCCTGAATCTCTGTGAGGAAAAGCCTTGAACTATTGTGTTTCTGTTGCTACAACTCCCTTCCTGTTGCTATTCATAACCATGAATATATGAGTCTTTAAAAATCAAACTAGAGAAACAGCTCTTGGTCATTGCCTTCAATTGTTTTCAAAACATTGATTATTTTTACTATATCTTACAGTAAATCTCCTTGTTGGTTATCTTTCAACATTAGAGAGAAGTTCTTGGAAGACAGCATGGTCTTTGCTGTCTCTTCCACATCAGGTGTGCAATGTGCATTATATGCACAATGGAGTTGATCTATAAATGTTATTG